AGCAGCCAATTCATCAAATTAAAAAAATAATTAATTTAATATATACATTTCGACCATATTACCATCATCAGCATATATTTTATATCCTTTTTTTAAAGATTGTTTTTAAAGCAATCGCGTAACTGTTTTAGAGACGAAATATCAAAGCGCGTAAGCGCCGCGTTGCAGCAGTTCAATATATAAATCTTGGTACGAAACCCACAGAAGTGTAAACAAAATTTGTACTAATTATTATAATTTTTATAAAATATCTGATAATTTAATGTACTTAGGTCAAATGATCATTTTTGATCGCCAAATGGATTAATTTTTTTTTGCTTCTTTATTGGATCTCCGAAAGAACTAGACCTGCCTTGTCAAGAATTTAATAAGTTCTTCATTTTATTAATACAAGTAAAATGTTTTTTAAATTATTGAAATCGGATACTCCGTTCAATTACTGAACTGAATTACCATTTTCGCCACTTTTTGCCCTATATCATCAAAACGGATGCACCTGCCTTAGCCAAAAACTAATCAGCACGTCTCCATTATCAATAGAATTCCAATGTTTTTTGAATCATTCAAATCTGTTAGTCCATGTTCTCAAAATCGTCGGTGAAAAATTGTATCCGCACATACATACACACACACAAAGACACTCATACATCCATTTTTCTGAGGCTAAAATATTCAGAAACCTCTAAAACGTAATGATACATAAAATTTTTCATTTTTGATTTTTTTGCGATTATTATATCTTACCCTACAGTTAATAATGAAAATTCAAATATTGCAGTGAATTTTTAAAATTCTATACACAATCAATTTCCTCGAAAATTTATATTATTTTCTTCGTATGTGTAAAATGTATGTAAATGTAAGTCTGTGCCTGATTCGATCCTGAACTGAAGTGATTATCGTCGGCAAATTGGAAAAGTATAGGCTGATTTTAAATCTATGATAAACAAGGTGCTCTATGAACAGCCGAGTAATAAAATCAACGCCTGTTAAGAGTTCATATCACAAACGATTCGCGAGTTTAGCAGTTTACACTGCAATTACAATTCGCAAGTTCAATTACTGTGAAAGTGATATTATTAAAAAAAAGTTATAATCGGTATAATTTGACAAAATTAAATCAAAACAATTACCCGCAATAACAAAATAAATTTAACAAATAGAAAACGGCATCTAAGACTACATTTTACCATTGTCGGTATTAAACAAATAATTGTGTTTAAATTAATAACGTGCGTAGCCAATAAATCACACATGTGAATATAAAGCAGCTGCATAAATAAAATATAAATTTACTATATTAATAAATTTCCAATGATAAAATAAAAATGTTTTCTAAATTTTCTGGTGATCAATAATACCTACACTAGATTGTTGAAGTTTAACATAGTCTAAAATTAGACCATCAGGTAAGTGTCTTTGAAAATTGTCATAATATTTGTTTAATTGGTTAAGTCTTTAATTTAATAATGAATAACAAATATGTAAATGTACTAAATTTAAACGGTATCACGTTTAATCGCCTCTTAATATTGTTCAATAGATTTGATTAAATTTATTTACTCTTTTTTTTAAATAAGTTTCAAAATAAGAATATGCCTACAGTTGTTACAATACTAGTGCCATGTGGTTTTAATATAAAATTTGCTGTTTTTTTAATGGTTGTATGAAAACAACTTAAATGAACATTGAATATTGGATTATTTTAATATAAATGATAGAACTCAAATTTTGATAGGCTCCAATCTTGGAAAACAACTGTGATCAATCCGAACCAAGTTAATTAAATAACTTTTCATTTTTGAACAACTTTTACCAACTCTGATATTAGATCCTATAAAGTGCTCTAGTTCTTTTCCACCTTTGTTATATAAACTGACCCATTTGCAAATTTGTTCTACATTTCATTGCTTCTGATTATATAATGCGATCTACTATATAATAATTAATAAATCCTACAGCAATTAGATAATTGATATCATTCCAATTTTCATAATATAATACAATAATATATCCTATAATCTACCACTATAAAACAGGTTTTTCTGTTTTCCAATGCAACTTTTACTATCTGTAAACATATCTGACTTTGAAAATTTAAATATTAATTGTACTGCCTTCTCTATTGCTTTCAAGTTAGATGCAAAAAAATATCCTACTTTAAGATCTTAATCTTTCTGTAATATTGCGGATTGTGTTTAATTCCCCAATTTTGATCCGAACTCACTTAGTTTCACAATAGTTGGATTGAAAATGTTTCTCTATATAAGTTGTATTAGCTAAAATAGAGTCATTATGGATGTGCACTCCAGTTATACAATATATTTATAATTTTTGTCAAAAACATATAACTAATAACTTTTTATTGCTTTTCGCATTTTTCAATAATTAGAGTATCTAGCACTTAGGTAAATATAGTTTCGATTTCTAAATTCACACCTGTGCTCTCAATCAATTTTTTTGTTTATTGGTATACATTTTTAAACTGTTGAAAAGTATTAACAAAAAATAAACTTATTAGAGATGTACAAAACTGTATTAAGATCTCCGATCTTATTATGTATCATATTTTCTACTTCGAGTTGCCACATCACTCCCCGTTTAAGGGGGTATTCTAGTGTAGAGCGATGAATTTTAGGTCATTTTTAAAGTGTCGTAAAAGAAATCAATGAATGTTTTCACTATCCATTTTTACCACATGTTTATTAATATTATTAAAATACAAAACAAAAATAAAAAAATAAAAAAGTTGAAAATTGTGAAAACAGGCAGCTGATAAAGTGGGTGGTCTCAAAAAATTGGCACCTCAGTCTTGACATGATTTCAGCCCTCCTAGCCATCGGAAATGCAAAAAATAAAAAGATTATTAATCTACAATGATGTCGCAATCGCCCAAACTAGCGATGAGTAAAAAAAATTTTTTTTACAAATTGGCGACTGTTTGAAAAAAAAGTGTTTTTTTAAGTTTCTCGAATTTTTAAAAATAGTAAAAATTGGAATTTGGGAAGTCCAAGTTCGGGCTATAGATAGGTCTATAAACAAGACTCACTGAACATTTCAAGTGATTCGGTCGATTAAAACTCGAGAAATCATGTCAACAGTACTGAAAAAGTCTGCTCTGAGAAAAACGCATTTAAAGTTTTGCGTGAAGCCAAACCAGTATGGAGACCGAGTCAGTTAAACGTCTATATCTCCGAAAATAATCCAAATTTTCAAAAACCTTCTTGTACCCATATTCTTAGATAGTTAAACTTTGAAAATATGAAATAAAAAAAATCGATTTTTTTGAATTTCTACACTAGAATACCCCCTTAATGTTGGTGACAAAGCTATTTAGAATGGGATGACAGGTAAAATGGTGTTTTGATATACAGGTCGATAGGTAAATTGGTAGACAGGTAAATTGATAGACAAGTAAATTGGTGAAAAGCTAATTTGTTGAACAGCTGGTGGTCAGGTAAATTTGAGGATATGTAAAATTGTAGGCAGGACAACTGGAAGATAGACAAATAACAAGGCGGATAAACAGGTTGACAGGTAAATTGGTACACATGTGAAACGCGTTGATAGGTAAATATGTCGATAAGTAAATTGGGAAGCCGGTAAAATGGTAGATTGATTAACAAGTTGATAGGTTAATTCGTAGACAAGTTGTTGAATAGGTAAATTGTTGAACAGATAGTAGGAATGTAAAACTAAATGTAACAAATACACATCTTTGTTCAACTTTTTAATTTAAACTAAATCACGGCAAAGCGTGAACGGGTACAGCTTGTATTCCAATATATATTCAAAGTATATAAATATGAATAGGGAATACACATATTTTTAATATAGGTTGCACTGATAAATACTTTTGGATTTTTTTTAATTCAATTTTATTCTGCAATCGGTATGAATTAATACATTTAGCAGAGAACGCTGACAATATATATAGTAATATATAGTTAGTAAATACCCGCAGTGGCGTATCTACTAGAGCTAATTAATATTATAAAAAAAAAACTAAGAACAAAAGGAAAAAAAAACTTTTAGAAATTTAATTTTGATTTTGGTTAATATTTCAAATCTCAAAAGCCAGGTGCTACAGATATGACCTTAACATAAGCTCTCTTCAAAAATAATGCAACAGCATAATTATTATTTGCATTAAATACAATACAATTTCGTATTGTTTTACAGATATCTATAAAAAAAAACACTATCCAAGTTTTATTTTTACCTTTATTTTGTCCGAATAGTATGGATTTAAAGTTAATTAAAAACAATAGATTATACTAACTTTGTTGAAGATTGGTATCCTTGTTAACGTACTTAAATTTTTAGATAATAGTTTATATTTAACATAGATTCAATGTTCAATTTAATACTACTTGTTCTTTGAATGGTCTTTTATAAAGAAAATGTTATAACAACAAACAAATTTCGCATCCGATTTTTTTTGTAACTATTACGAAATTGGCTTTTAACGTCAGATGATGAGTCAACAATAATAATAGTTCTTTTTCTGATGAAGTCTTTGTAATTTTTTTGTGGGTAGCTATGAAAGAACATCCCGCCGGTTATATCAGAGTTATTACTATGGATTATTGAAAATAGTTAAAAGTAATAGAATCAACTAACATTGCTGCTGATTGGTATCTTTGTTAACAAGTGAATAAATTTAAAACTTTAGATAATTTAGTTGTATAAAAAAAATTCATTGTTTATTTAATGCGAATATTTTTTTTGAACCTCATTCGAGTTTTATTATATCAATGATGCTATTATCTACCAATTGTGTAAGAAGAAATAATAAAAAAAATAATCTTTATACACTAATAAAAAACGCAGCCATTGAATATTAGTATTTATATTCTATAATATATATTATTGCCAACTTGCGTCAAGGACGTAGGATTAATTACAAAACCAATGCTACTGATTTTCTATTATAAGTAAATTAAAAAAAAATGCAGATTGAAATTAAATTACAGAACAAGGAAATCTGTCGAGCAATCATGAATATCTTGTCTTTCGCACTCGGAACATTGGCTTTGGCCGTTTTCAGTGATGCCCAAGATGCCAACCAACCACACATTATTTTCATCATGGCTGATGACATGGTAATTTCAATAAATTTTAATAACAATTTAATTTTATCAATGATTATTAAACATTAAACCACCAGATTATTTTTTTTTTCAACTGAACTTGTACGTCATGAACTGCATAATTTTTAATACATTCATGAATATAATTATGAAAAAATCGAGCAAATATTTTCAATGTTGAAAGGTAATAATTTGCATTTAAATGGAATATATATTGCAAAAATGTTTTTATTTAGACTTGCATAAAATCATATACGTGTTTGGACAAAAATAAAAGTAAACAATTAAAAATTCAACTAATGATTAGTAGTAAATAACATTGGCAATGTGTTCAATATGTTTTTAAATTAATTTTTCCAAATTCAAAATCGAGCATGCTAAAGTTCCCGTTAATCAATAATTACATATTTACATTGTGTTCATGCATTATTTTTGTTTATTAAATTCAATTTTTAATCAAAAGTTGTCACACGTTTAACTGAAGAAACAGACTATATAAAGCATAATGAACGCAAAAAATGTTTGAGATTCAAAAATGATTGCTAGTATTATTACTATTATAGCTAGTATTATCACATAGTATTTATTACTATATATACATTACATTAGGGCTTCAATGATGTAAGTTTTCGTGGTTCGAACCAAATTCCGACCCCAAATCTGGATGCGTTGGCCTACAATGGGATGATACTGGATAACCATTATATGCAACCTCTATGTACGCCTTCAAGAGCAGCGCTAATGACTGGCAGATATCCAATATACTCAGGTATTTATAGCACATTATTATTATTATTAAATGATTTATCGAAGGGAAGATTTATAAGTTCCAAAAAGATAAGTTATATTTTCAAAATTTCGTAACAAAAAATACCGGGAAATTTCCAAAAACGTGGGCATTTTCATTTGTTTGTGAGGCAAGTCCAGGTTTCGTTATATTATATACGGACTCATGAAGATGGCAATGTAAAATGCAAAATTATAAATAAAGCATATAAAATACAAAGCGATTTTCATATAGACATACAGCATATCTCTATGAGGTAACGCAAGTAAAGCCAACATTTTTGCAACAATCTTAAAATAAATATCTGAAGAAAATATAGCGCCCAAATATGTTCCAAATTGGCTTATCCAAGATACTAGTATGCACAAAGTGACAAAAAATATTGGAAGGTTTGAAAGTACTAAGCTAGATAGACAACCATCCAAGTAAACGTGCTAAAGATTTGCTAACCGCAAACATTACTAGACGTTTCAAAAAACAAAACAAGCTCATCACACTTAACTAGTTTATAAGTAACGTGGACTAAAACATTACGGTCTAGTTTTTCTTTATCCCATCATCAGTGCCAAGTTAAAAAATTATATCACCAATTAGCATTTTAACTCCATCCATAACACTGGCCGCAAAAATTACTAAATGCTTTTCTAGGAAACTTTATAAGCTCAAGGCATACTGGAGTATCATTCAGAAATATATAATAGTTACAAATTATTGCATACTAATTTATTTTATTTGTGTAATTTTTATTGACAAACATTTCTGTTTAGAATAATGAAAAATGATAAAATTTTTGCTTTATTATGTATTCATATAGCAATTCTGGATATATTTATATTGGAGGCTGTTTAGATGTTGTTTTAAAACAAAAACTAACCGACCATAATTTACTTGAATTTTAAATCTCAGGGTCCGTGTATAATTAAAGACGATTTTTAATTTTCATAGAATAAGTTTTTTTTTAAAAAAGTAATAAAATTAATAATATTGTTTATACAGTATTCAGTGTTCACATTTATCTTTCCAATGATAAAAATTTAAAACCCACAAACCGCTTGTGAAATTTTACTTTAATATTTGTCACAAATAATTTATATTATTTATATTATTATAATGAATCTATATTTATATTATTTAATATACTTTATAATTTATTATAATCCGTACAAATGAAAAACTACGTTACAACAACTTTGTATTAAATCAATTTCTACAATAGTTTTATGATCCGAAATGAAATTATAAATGTTTTTATCAATAAAAGTGATAGAAAATAATGAAAATTAACTATTGTGTGCTAAGATAAAAATATTTATTAGAGCATTTTTACCTTAACCTAAAATTTTATATTTAAGAAAGGAAAAGAACGTGTTTTTCATTTCATGCTCTAGATAAAAATTTTGAAAAAAATTGGCTATACTTCAGGATTCTTTCATAAAAAAGAGAGATAACCCCCATAAGAATAACTACGTAGCAAATACAGTTAATATCAATTGAAAATACATACTATTTACCCAAAAAATTCATTTTTACCCCATTTGGGTAATTTACCCTGGTTCCCGACCACTGCTTTATAGAGATCAATTGCAGTATCATTCAGAAGAATATAATAGTTTTTTGACCACTTATCCAACTTTGTGATATTCCCATTGTAACACTAACACGGAGTTTTCAAATAAAAAATCTATTATTAATTATATTACTTATCCATGTATTGTAAACATAACCATAGAGGTTTGCATTTACATAAGTATAGAAATAATATAGATGTTTCATGAGTTTGCAGACCGTTTACGTGCATTTTAAAGCACATCTATGAAAGATTTAAATAAAAAAAATTCTATACTATTTTCAAGGTAAAATATTGCACTATGAATTACCTAGAGTTAGTTAATGTAGTTCATTCAATATGTTAAACAAATGGCTTTATACTTCAGGTTTACAAGGCGCGCCATTATTGGCGAACGATGTAAGGGCTCTTCCACCAGGAAAAATTTTACCAGAATATTTGAAGGACTTGGGTTACACAACAAGATTAGTTGGAAAATGGCATTTGGGACATAGATCTCTCAATGAGACTCCAACGTACAGAGGTTTTGATTCTCACTTTGGCTATTGGACTGGTTGCACAAGCTATTTTGACCACGTGCTGGCTGAATACACTGTAAGTAATTGAACTAGATGTAAGTGGCAGTTTGCCTGAACGCAAGTTGCTTGAATGTACTGAGATGTGTGTAATATAATTTCTGGAAAATATTTCCCAGATGGTCTTATAATTCAAGGGACAACTAACTGATTTGTCAAATATTATTATGCATATATTTAGACTTATGGGCCGATTTTGCCGCACAACAGACGAATGTTATGGCAAGGCCATGTCACGCTTCAACTTGCATGCATTATAATACTGAATCATACTTAATATTGTCAAAATGTCACGTATTTGCTGTAAATTCAGGCGTTTTACACATAAACTGCAATGTTACTCTTATGTTATAAAGCTGTGTCAGAAACACACTGTTATCTTACATCGTTTTTTTGACATTTGCGCGGTTTCTATGTTAGGATTTCTGACAACTTGAGATAAACGCCTGACTGCACAGCAACCACATGACTTTAGTCAATATTTAGAACGATTTTGTACAGAAAGTTCTTCATAACATAGCTTTGGCAACATTGGTCTGTTATGGTGCAGAATTGGTTCATTAATTATTCTTATTAGTTTTTCATAGAGTGAAGGCAAACGTTTACCAAATTTATGTTTTTTATTTATGTCTATTATAAATGTTTTATGTTACGGGTCTATAATTGTTTGAGTTGATAGTCACAAACTGTCAAAAAACTATGTATTTGCTGTGAGATCAGACGTTTTACACATAAAACCTAACCTCCAAAAGACACAAATCAAACAACAATATTATCATAAGTGCAATATGCTGATGTCTCTTTGATAAGCACATAAGTGAAGTCTTGCCAAAATTAAAATTATGAGGTTTGTGCGTTTTGGAAGTTAAGTTGTATGTGTAAAACGCCCAATCGCACAGCAAATACATAGCATTTTGTCAGTTTGTGACTACCAACTCATGCGATTTCTGTTTATCGGAAAATTGGCTCCTCATATATACGTATATTAATACATATATTAACAAAAAGTTTAATTCAATAATAAAATTATTTATTTGTATCGACACTAAATGTGCGTCATCATTTTAAATGCTAAAATTAAAGAATCATTAAATGAATACAGTGGTAACAAATGAAATAAATGAACTTGGTTATAAATAGTAGAAGACACCTGTGTTATCACATCTGTGTTGTTGCAGTTAGAATTTATTAATGATCTGCTTATACAAAATTGTTTTCAATTTTTACAATGTCAGATAAATATTGTCCATGTAGGATTCATATTTTAGTAATTAACTGAACAAATATGTTCTTACAAAAACTATAACATTTATGGTGGTGTAGTGGTTTAGAGCGCAAGGCAGCGCAAACTAGCATCCTATTCGATTCTAACCACAGCCAGCTCGATATCAAGTAGTATGATATTTGTGGCTATTACTGCAACACATACATTTAGTCGGCACTATTAGATATGCATATCTAATATAACGTAAAAAAGAGTGGTTGACCGCTGGGTTACACTGTCGAGATAAATACTAGGATAGAATATATGATAGCACACAGCATATAGAGTATGTAGTTCCAAAAAAAAATTTTTTTCAGAGTGATGGAAAGGCTCACTATGGTCATGATTTCTACCGTAATACAACAAGCGCATGGGATTTGCAAGGCCAATACGCAACAAGGCTTTATTCCCAAGAGTCTGAACGAATTATTAATGAACATCAAAAACCAGAGGAAAACCCACTTTTTCTGATGGTTGCTCATATGGCTCCCCATTCGGCAAACAAAGGAAAATTTTTGGAAGCGCCGCAAGAAACTATTGACAAGTTTTCTCACATTCCAAATGTGGATCGGAGGACATATGCTGGTAAGCGTTTACTTGTTATTTATTTGTCCATTTATAATATATTTCAATATTGTTATTAAATTACTCTAATTGATTTATTAATTATGAATAAGCCTGGCAAAAGCATATATATAAATGTACATATACTTCCAACAATTATAAATAATTATTATTTTTTACAGCAATGGTCAGTGAATTCCAACAATTATAAATAATTATTATTTTTTACAGCAATGGTCAGTGAATTAGATGACAGTGTTGGAGTATTAGTAGAAGCTCTGAAAAGGAAAAATATGTTGCACAATTCTGTGATTCTATTCAGCTCAGATAATGGAGGTGCAACTACAGGAATATATCCCAACTGGGCGTCAAATTATCCATTAAGAGGCGTAAGTTGATGCTTTAACTATACCAAGTAATTTTCAAAATAAATTTAAAAAATACCCCAAAATAAAAAGAGTGCCGCTAATCATAATTATGGGTAAATTTAATAAAAGCAGTTATTAACTTCCCGTAGGGCAAGTTATAGTAATCGCAAAAAAATCGAAAATGAAAATTTTTATATATCTTTACGTTTCAAAGGTTTCTGAACATTTTGGCATACCTTAGAAAAAATGGATGTATGTGTGTGTGTGTGTGTGTGTGTGTGTATGTATGTATGTATGTATGTATGTATGTATGTATGTATGTATGTATGTGCGTGTGTGTATGTATGTGCGGATACAAATTTTCGTCGACGATTTCGGGAACACGGATCAACCGATTTGAATAATTCAAAAAACATTCGATTCGTATTGATAAGGAGACGTGCTGATTAGTTTTTGGCGAAGGCAGGTCTAGCCGTTCCGAAGATACGGGGCAAAAAGTGCCGAAAACGGTAACTCAGTTTTTAAGAGAACGGAGCGTCCGATTTGAATAATTCAAAAAACATTTCACTTGTATTGACAAGGTGAAGAATCGATAAAATTTTCATGAAGGTAGGTCTAGCGGTTTCGGAGATATGGAGGAAAAAGTAAAAAAATGAGCCATTTGGCGGTCAAAAATGATCATTAGACATATGCACATCAAATTATCAGATATTTTATAGAGATTTTAACAATAAGTATACATTTTGTTAACATTTCTATGGGTTCCGTACCAATGCTTATGCGTTAGACAGCGACGCGGCGCTTACGCGCTTTATATTTTGTCCCTATGCAGTTAAAGCAGTACGATTGCTTTCAAAAAAATTTCAGATCTTCTACAATATGTCAAAATACAGAAAAAAAAAAATTTTTTTCAAAAAAAAAATGTTTTTTTAAAAAAAAATTTTTTTTTTCAAAGAAAAGTTATTTTTTGTCCAATTTATAGTTTCTCAAAAATCTTATTCTTTCAAAGTAATTTTTTTTCAAAAATGTTAATTGTTTTTAAAAAAATAATAATTTTTGGTACGGGAAGTTCCAGCAATTTGCCTTAAGGCACGATGCCTTAATTGCCTTAAGACAGAATTCCACTTACAGCTAGTTTTAAAATTATTTTATATTAATTCACAATGTTAAGACATATGGAAATTATGTAAAATTTCCAAATTTAAGTTGGATATCAAAATATCTAGTAACACCAAGTTACTTAAACTGCTGTTGAGCCATGCTTAATAGTTGCATCAACTGTTTTATAATGTATTTTTCGTGGTATTTATTTTTTAATGAATACTTACAACTATACACAGAATATATTATATTATTTTATAATATTCAGTATCAGTAACGTAATTTTCATCGAATTTATATTTATTTATTATTTATTTTTTATTTTAAACACGAGTTGAAAGTGACATTTTCTCTGAAGGCAATTTGCACGAACTTCTCGAAAGGTGTAATAATTGAGTTAATCAACCGAAAATGAAATTTAGAAATTTAGATAAAATTTATAATTGTTTATTTTGAAAATAAAGATTTCGCTTTTTCCTAAACACATTTAAAAAGTTATCTGTAATTATATTAATTATATTGCACAGGCACGTGCTATATGTCCTAAAATTGTAGTTTATAATTTCACACTTTAATAAATTGAGAATGTTTGACTTATCACATAATAAATGCAACTTTTGACACCAATTTTGACTATACTGTTTTTTCAAACTTTATTATATATGACCTCTAATCCTTCATTACCAATTCTAACAATAAGTGAAAAACATTTATTTCGAAATATTCCATTCAAATCAACTTTTTTTGAAAATTTTATCTATATGAGTTTATTGTGATTAATTTATTACTAGAATAGTCTTAATATATTAAATACTTATTCTTTAATTAATTATTTAAATTAATTAATTATTAATAATATTTCAGATTAAGGGTTCTCTGTGGGAAGGCGGTGTACGTACTTCTGCTTGTATATGGAGTCCATGGATGCAGGGAAAAGGCATTCACGACGGTTTGATCCATGTTACTGATTGGTTTTCTACTTTTATAACTCTTGCTGGTACGTATTGCAATTTTAATTCATGAAGTAATAAAGATTTAGCAGTAAAAACTGACGAAATGACAGAGCAATATATGTATTAAAATAATTGTAATAAAATTGGTGGGGCACTATTATCCAAATTTATTAACTTAAAATGCAAAGTATATACAGTCAACTTTAAACTATGTAAATGACTGATTTTTTAAAAAAACACAAATTAATAAAAAATACGGATATGAAAGATACAGTCCATTAACTAAAAACACCCACCAACTTCTATCATATAATGGCAAATAAAAATACTGATAATTTTTTTTCCAATACTCTCTAGAGGTGGAAATTTTAATAACTGCACTTTTACAAACTCTTAAGGAGTTCTGAAAATCCCACTTAAACAGAGCCTATCAGCTTGATAAATTATACAATGTAGTATTTTATTGATATTTCAAATTGCAGGTGGTGATGTTTCACAATTGAATGTGGATGGCTTGGATCAAACTGCATCCTTAATTTATGGCTATCCATCACCCAGGAGAGAAATGCTTCTCAACATCGATGAAGTAGTAAGTTATAATAAATCATAATTGATTTTAAAATTTATCATAATTGATTTATATATATATATATATATATATATATATATATATATATATATATACTTGATAACCCGACAGACGTTATCCTGTATATCCACATCTACATTTTAAGTTCCAAATTTTTTAATATCCTATCCTACACATCTGACAGTTTTTATGTATCTAAATATTTTTAATATCAAACAATGATAAGCGTTTTTTTTTTGTATTTTTTTCATTTATTTCTACAATCTAACTATATTTCTATAATTCGAACAATCCTAAAATATTCCCTTAACAAACTTTAGAAAGATTTATCAAAATCTGAATAATCCTTTAGGAGGAGTATTATTTCATACATCATTACAGAATAATTTTATATATGAGATATTCACCTGAAGACAAGTTGCATTAATTTTTTTATAAAAATATCAACATTAATATTTTATTTATCTCTGTTTAATAGCAAAAACATTCCGCAATCAAGTACGACAATTGGAAGTTAATTGTAGGACCAGCATTCAAAGGGCAAGCCAACCTCTACAGTGGAGAAAAGGGAATCGAAGTAACTCATGAGCCCTTTTATGATATTTCTTTGGTCAAAAATAGTTTAGCAGGTCGCGCCTTAGCCGAAATTGGATTTGTCTTTAATGACAGTATAGCAAAATCTAACAGAAAAAAAATTATCCCAAAATGTATCAACAGAGACTCCAGCAAATTCCAAAGCACCTGCTCATTAGTGCATTATTGTAAGTACTAAAATATTTATATCATATGACAATTATAAGTTATCTAATTTCAGAACATATATAATTGCCAATTTGTAAAAAAATATCTTAGAAAATGCGTTTGGCTGAAATATCTGGTCTTCAATTACGATATGTGTTAAATTTTTTGAGATTTTTCAATTTTCCTTAAATTTTTGCCGAATCGGCTGAATAAGCGAAATTGCGATATATGGTAGAAAAAGTAATAATTTTGAGATGAATCTAACTAAGTATAATACTTTATATGATTTTTCATGAGTTTATATAATAGTTTGAATAACTGCTCAAACCTATCTGCACTTTGCATTTGAACTTAAATATTTACACATTTTATATCCTACAAAGTAAACCGTGAGGGTTAAATTTGTTTTTGAAAACTTATAAAATAAAATTAAAAATAAAATTATATACAAATTATATTATTTAATATGTGTGCCTTTTAAGGTGACCATATTCTTCCAAGTCAAATCCGGGACGGTAATTTTAAATTATGCTAATCCGGGACGGGGGAGAGAGGGTGAATGCTAAAAAGTTAATGTATTTTCAAAATAACAAATACTATTTAAGTATTTGGTGAAAATCCGCCTTTTTAAAGGAGTTGTTTCTAAATCTAAAAATTTAGCTTTCAAACTTTCAAAATTTGGTTAAATTTTTTTCGTAAGTATTTAAAAATAATAAGCACATTCATTTGCTTTATTCCAGGCAGTTCATTTTCATAATTTTTGTTAATTTTCGTAAAATTGGGAATAAAAGTTCAAAATTATGAATGTGAGAGGTTATTATTTTAACCCGCCTTTTTTATATAAGCATACTAGTTATGCATAATATTTTCAGATATTTGAAGGGTAGTTGTAATTTTATCATCAAATAAGAGCGAAGAATCAATTTAGTCTCATGTTTTTCGAAAACCCGGAACAATCCGGGACAAAAGATATAAATCCGAGACAAATTTTGCTTTTAGAAAAACCCGGAAAGCAAGGTGAAAATCCGGGACTGTCCCGGCCCAACCGGGACGTATGATAACCTTAGTGCCTATATAAATTTCTTGAGGTTTTTTAATTTTCCTTGAATTTAGACTGTTATAATATAAAGTTGCAATATGTGGATGAAAAACTAAGAATTTTTAGACAAATCTAACGAAATATAATACTTTATTTAGTATTATATCTTTATAAATAATCGAGAATAAATGCAAAAGTTTTGATACACTCTTAATGTGTACAATTACCCTTTAACACATATCTAGACCAAAAAATGTAGTACGATTGCAAAGTAACAACTTTTGTATCTTGACTCCGATTTATATAAGAGTGGTAAATATATTAGAGTGGTCTTTAATATGAATATTTTTGAATTTCTGTGCTCTCAAAGGCTCAAATGCTTCCAAATTGCTTCCAAAAATGAGAAGTTTTAGCTCCTAATATTAATTTTAAGCTAGTCTGCACTTCAACTAAAGTTTCTTGGTTCTTCTTCTTAGGTAAATACTTATTTTATGAAATATATCGAATTTTTGTTGTAATTTTTTTTATTTATGATCAAAATAAGTAAATGCAACATTTTGATTCACTTGTCGTTAAAATATATAATTCTAAAAAATAAATGAAATTTTACCTAAGTTATTTCCATAGGGAACTTTAGTTGGAGTGCGGACTATCTTAATGTTAATATTAAAAGCTTAAACTTTTAGAGAAAATATTTTTCATCATTTTGAAGCATTTAAGCATTTGGGAGAAAAAAAATGTGAATACATCCATATTTAGGACCACCCATATATATATATATATATATATAATATACATATATATAAATATATATATATATATATATATATATATAAATATACATATATATATATATATATAAATATACATATATATATATATATATATATATAATATACATATATTTATATATATATATAATTTGCGATTTATTTATGTATTTAATAGCTTAATTAATATTCTTTTTCGCGCTCTAGGGCAATGTGATAATAAAGCATAAATTATATAATATTAAAATCAAATGAAATTTAATATTATACGTTCAAGAACATAAAATGTTATGCCTGCTACTGCCATATGTCACTTGCATTTCACGGCCGTTATGTCGAAAACGCGGAATTTGTAAATCTGTCAAATTTAATTTGAATTTATTGACATGGAATGGAATGCCTAGATGATTTGGAATATAAATGAGAAGTTTTATGTACAATTTACTTTTGATTTTAATATTTTATTATTTTTCCATATGGCAGTCAAAATATCTATTTGTTTACTTAGTTATTTAAAAACAAATATAATTGTTTAATTTATTAAAAAAAACTTAAGCTTTTATTGATTCATAACGAGCAATAACAAATAATTTAATTAAAAATCAGCGTAGATTTCGTAAGACTTTCGATTTATAGTTAGTTTAGTTCAGACCACATCATAATTCATTCTTTTGAAAAGGCCATGTTTTTTACAGCAATATTTTGCGATATGTAAAAAATAAATCATTTGACAGTGCACATTTTTTATACAAAGCTTCTAGATATATTAGAAAAATGTGATAATCGAGGACGAACACTAATGCAAATTCAACCAAACCTAAGCTTTATTTAAGTAATCATAAAAATTATTTTGGCGCAAATTAACTATAAATCTAGGTGCACCGCAAGGATCAAGTTAAGGATCTTTTTTGTTTTTTTACCTGGAAAATTTTTTCAGCGCTTTTTTACTAATCTTTGCAGTTTTATTTTATGTATAATGCGTTTCAAAATGTGAATTAAAATAGAAAAGGTTGTATCAACAACAACAAAATTGCTCAATCTGATCTTAAATAAGAATAAAGCACGAATATTTTTTTTTTTGCACAACAAATAAACTATCGAACAAGAGCAAGTTTTTTAACCAATTAACTTTCGATAACACAACATAACTCCTTAAGCATCAGAATTTCCTATCAAACTAGTGGTGCATGGCATCGTTTATTTTTCTTAAAAAAGCTTTGGAATTTTTTGGAAACTTTGATAAAATTAGATTCTTGAAAATTTTGAAATTAATTTTTTTTATATTTTGAAATTTTTTAAAAACTTTGAACTTCATCAATCTCGCTCCGTAGCTGTTTTAGCGATAAACATTGGTACGGAACCTATAGAAATGCAATACATACATAGAAAAGTAAACAACATTTGTTCTTATTATTAAAACATCTATAAAATTCCTGATAATTTGATGTGCATATGTCTAATGATCATTTTTGACCGCCAAATGGCATTTCTTTTACTTTTTTTTATTGAAACTCCGTAACCGCTGAACCTGCCTTCCCAAAAATTTTATCAATTCTTCTTCTGTCAACAGAAATAAAATGCTTTTTGAATTATTTAAATCGAACGTTATTTCAAAAACTGAAATACTATTTTTGGCAATTTTAGTCCCGTATTTTCGAAACGGCTGGACCTGCTTTAGCCAAAAACTAATTAGCACGTCTCCTCATTGATACAAATCAAATGTTTTTTTTAAAATATTTAAATCGGTTGATCCGTATAATGAATAAATTTTACTTACAATTAGTCAACGCTGGGAATATTGTTAAAACCAATCTTAATACATTTTCTTAGAAACTATAATTCGCGTTTTAATAATTGAGAATTTATATTGATTTTATTTATGTAATTGCTATTTCTATATTTGTATTTTTTCTGTTAATGTGTTTATTTTAATATGTAATTTTTAATTTTAGATTCCTTGTGCTTATTCGACTTGAGCAAAGATCCATGTGAATCAAAAGACATATCTGCTAACAATCCAAACGTGGTTAATGACCTTTTGCTAGCAATTGTACAATATAAATCGAATATGATGCCCCAAATGCTTCCGGAAGTTGATCCTCGAGGACTTCCAGAACTTTACAACTACACGTGGTCCCATTGGCTTGACCAAAATCCGACCACACCTCAGCATAGTAGCCAAATTGGATTTAATAGTCAATACTTTGATTATATGGAGAGCTTTGAAAATTTTTAATTTGGAAATTTAAAGAAAGAAACCAAATATTAATTTGTAAATTATAATATATTTAGAGTTAATGTCAAATTCAATAATAATCACGCCAGGCCAATCAAAACTTACAAGTAAAATGTTATAATGCTACATAAAATGCCGATCATATTGATCGTTAAACTATACCATTAATTTATTTCATTTTTTAAAAAAATATATTTGACTTCATTCATAAGTATGATATTTTATAAATACAAATATCCATTGTGATTTATATATGATGAATAAAGCAAATAATAAATTAAAAAAAGAAAATATTTTTACTAGTTGAATAAACTTTTTCTGTGTGACTTGAGAAAAATAAGTTAACATATTAAATTTCAAACTGTTCAGGGATAATAATAATAATCAAAGTGGTATTTAGCCTTAAAGTAAGTTGTATGACCTTTCCGAAAGGTGTAATAATTGACTTTATCAACCGAAATTGAAAATTAGATATTCAAATAAAATTTTTAACTGTTTATTTCAAAATTAAAATTATAAATAGTTTGTATTTCTAATAGAATTTTCTCAAACACATTTAAATTATCTGTAATTATATGATATGCACAGACAAGTGCTTGTATGCCCTAAAATTGCAGCTTATTATTTAAAATTTTAATGAATTGATGATGTTTGACTCATCAAATCGCAAAAGCAACTTTTGACACAAATTTTGACTGTATAATTTTTTCAAACTTTGATGAATTTTTAAAATTAAACTACTTGCCGTAGGAACGTAAAATTTCAGTAAGTTGTTAAGTTCATTTCAGTAAGTTTAGGAACATGATATCTATCAACATAAAAAGTTTCATCAAAAATTTCTTTTCAACAGTTTAATTAAATGACATGTCATAGGGCCGTAATATTTTAGTATGATCTATAAGACCATGATATCTATCATAAAAAAAATTCATAAAATCGTCGAATTTTTTTTCAACAGTTAATTACAAGAACACGTGCGAGCGGATTTTTACCAAAAACTAATCAGCACGATTCCCAACTAATATCTTTCGAACGGTTTTTGAATTTTCAAAATAAATTGTGAGCTAAAACGCTGAGGAAATTTTTTTCACTGTTTTGCTATTTACGAAGAAATGGATTGGCTGCTCGTCGCGTAAAACTGATTAAGGCTAGCTGTTCCTCATCGAGATACATCAAATGGCTTTTAAATTTTAGAAATCGGTCCAACCGATTTTGAGAAACGCCGATTTACGATAAATAATCTGTTCACACACACACGCACACACATGCTTTTTCCAAATTTGGTCGCATTCGATTTAGAATAGCTTGAAACGTCGAGAAAACAAAATCAGCGAATCGAATTTTTGAGCGAAAACAAACTTTTCCTTTGGGAAGTTTGTGAGTTAATTAGAAAAACAATTAGCTAATGCATAAATAAAATTGCAAAATTAACGCAAAACATAGCAGCTTATTTTTCATCTTTGAAATAACTTAATTTGTGTAAATGTTTCTAGATTTATAATTTATTCTTAGTACAGGTAAATTTTATTTTTTGTATTTTTGATATAAAGTAAGTATAAGACATTTCTATACTCAAAAAAGTAATTTTTGTGTTTAATAATAAAAGCATACTTGTTCAGAATGCTTAATTTTAACATGTGAAAGAATTGTTTAATTTTCTAATTGTCTTTTTGTAAACAACTTGTATATAGTTTAAAAACTCTTTATTATAATAAAAAAATCCGCAAATTTAACAAAAATTCATTCATTCTTCTTACTATATAATTTGCCTTACGAAGCAAGACATCGTAATTTCCCCAGAATAAAATAAACCAGATATGCAAACAAATTCAACAGAAATCAATAGTGTTTTTTATAATTAATTTCTGATTCATTTAAGATTCCTGTACTGAGTTACCATAACACGAGAATTTATGGTCAATTTATCCAAGATATCAGTTGAATGTAAATTCCTCCATGTTTTATTTATTTAAACATCCGAAACAACTATAATAAAATAGTTCTAACTTTAGAAAAAGCGTTAATAAAAAAATACAAAAATGCAAATCAAGAGCCATAAAAACACAATATACGATTTTTACGCAAAAAGGTATTAGTTAATGCATTGATGGAATTATAGTCGTATAGTTAATTTATAATATAGAAAAATACAAACTTGAAATAATAGAGAAATATTGTTAACGTAAAAAAACTCAAAAATTACAAATTGAGTAAAAATGTACAAAAATCAATCATTATTTTGATATGTCTATTAACTTTCTGTCGTTCTGAACAAACCTTAAAATAAATAGTACAAGATTATGACTATTTTCTTTATTTGTTTGATTATAAAGTTTCCAACACAAAATTGCAAAGATTTGAAAATGTGTATAAGTATATATGTATCTTTGCATGACATAACCCGTACAGTTTTCAGGAAAATAACTCAATTAAATTAGACGGTTTGAACGTTCATTTATTTGAATCACAAAGTATAGTTTTAAATTTAAATTGTGGAAAATTTAAAGTTTATTCCATATCGCAATGACAAATCCTTATCGACATTAGACTTTAATAAACTAGGCAAGATCTTACCCTCAAGTTCAAAAGTGAAAACAATTCCGACTCCGCCACCACTCCCCGGGGGATGACACACCTTCTCAGTTGTGTAATTTTATTTTTTCAAAATAACGTCGGAGATTATAGATTTTATCTAGCGATAAAATAGCTTAATGTCCACTTATTCATTAAGGGGTCGCAACCCCTCCGGGAAATGGTGGCAAAGTGCAAATTACACTTCTAGACTTGAGGGTAAACTGAATCTAATTCCAAAATTTCATGCAAATCGGAGCACAGTAAAAAAAATTCAGAGGTTATACCCTCTTTTCCTCTCTGTTTACTGCACTATGTAGCTTTATTTTTGGACCGTGAACTAACGAATGTGCATATCAAACAAAAAAATGCAAAAATTTAGACAACTTTACTGGAAGAAAATCAAAAATGTCATACAACAATAAATTGCTAAACCATAAAGCAGTAATAGTACATATATGGACATGTGGCATACAAGTATTGGTATGTGTTATCACGTCAAATAAGAAAATAATTCAAACAACCCAGAATGACATTCTATGAGTTAATACATCTTGGTATGCATCGAATAATACTATACTTAGAAATTTAAAGACGCAATCCGGATCAATAGCGACTCATATCATTATTATGCAAATTAGACATCCAAAATCTAACAAAACAATTAATCCAAAACTATTTTTCAAGCAAAAGTCTCAAAAAATTGCCCAAAAACCTACCAAAATAATTTGAGTATTGTTTCCTTTTTACTAACACAGAATATTATCTACAAGGACATCACTTCAATGAAGGAGACCTTTGAATGACATGTAATTGATTACTTAGACTCATAGAAATTGTATTTCTAATTGTCTGTGATGAATAAAAATTCATTTCATCTTATTAGTCCTGTTAGGACTACGGTTTAAGTCTCTGTCTATTTAAAGAAAAAAAGTGAATAAATGTCAATCAAACAATAACCAAAATGACGAACATGTTGTTATGAAAATATAATACTTTTAAGTAATTATTAAGTAAGTATAAAGCAAAAGTTTATTTCTGGAATATTTGAAAGTTTCAATGGAAACTTTAATATATTTATAGAAATCATCGTTTGCGACTACTCAGCGCAAACTTCTAAATCATCAATCTAGCGACCACGACAAAAGTTCACTAGTCCGCATTCTCATCATACTAATATTGTAGAAATAAAAATTCTGTAGAAAGGAAATGCATTTATAAGCATAAGCTTCAAAAGGTTATCCTCTCAATAAAAGCCGATTCAAGTTTTGCTTATTGAATAGCGTATCGCAAATAGAACTCTACATAACGGAATCTCGTGGTGTTATCTCCTGCATAATTCATTCCAAATCTACGTAATTAATCTATCAAATATCCTGGCCTTGACGAATGGCCAATAATTATATAAACAGTTTTAAAGTTCGATGATAATTGAGGGAAACACGGGTTAAGGGTTCTCGGTATCCGATTATAAATTTTTTCTTCATGGACATATATCAAGTACTTTTTAGTATTTCTACGCTTGAAAATTTTCACGAATTTAAAACTAGTTTCTCAATATCAAATGTTAAACTTACAATAGTCGGCAAATCGGATGTCTCGTTTTTATTAAGTCTTGAACAGTAATTTTTTGAATTATTAGTAAAACAGACAATTTAAATGATAATTTGAACCTCGTCATAATTTTTCAGAACAAATATTCAAACTTCAAAATGATAATTTTATATGGAAAGTAAATTTTTAAAATATAAAGTCAAAACAGTATAAAAATTCTTATTGTCTTCGAAAAATCTTAGTTTCATAGCAGATCATATTTTTGAGTTGCTTCTTCTATTATGATCATTCGTATTTTCAAGGCGATTTTTTATTCATTCAATAAATTATAGTTTATATATAACGTTATCAGTTATTATATATTTCTTAATAAAACTTCACCAAATCTTATAAACTTAAAATGTAATTACCTTAAGGCATAATATCATACAGACTTGTTGGTATAAGTTATGTGAGTTTCTGGTCAATTTCCATAATTTTTGATCTATTATTTCTGAGAATTTATATTATGTGATCTGATATTGATTTTTATAATATATTTAATTAATTTAATTAACTTCTCGTAGGATAAGTTATAGTAATCGCAAAAAAATCAAACAAACATTTGACTGGTATTGACAAAATAAAAAACTGATTAATTTTTTTAAAAATCCAAATTTCTCAAAAAAATATTTTTATTAAATAAATTACAAAAACCTTTTCAAAGTTTTCAAAAAAATTTAAAGTTTTTTTAAAAATTTTAATATTTGGCACGGAAAGTTCCAGCAAGTTGCCTTAAAGAACAATGTGCCATGCACCACTAGTTTAAATTAATTTTAATTATTTTAATAATATCAGTAATTAAAATATTTTTAATGAAAGCCTTTACAAATACA